TCTGTGTCAAGGGATAATAAATCCAATTTGTGTTTTGATGATAGCCACTGATATCAGCTCCTTTGCATTGTCGCTGACATGGACTGTAAAATTAGGAGACGTGATTAGTCCGTCTGGACTTTTATGTGCTGCCATGGGTCCAGTCATGAACCATGCCGCACTCTCTGATCCTTTCTCTAAAACACAAATCTGGAAACACATAAATCAGCAGTTCCATCCTAGAACATAAAAGCAATCTCAGGGGCATTTTGTCACATTTCTATTTGTCCTAAGTAGAATTATGAATAATTATTAATATTGTAGAACGTTCTCAAAACATACAGTCCTTAATGAATTCAACTTTGACCTTTCACAGACAGTGGAGATTGCTTTATCGAGAAGGTTCTTTGATTAGCACTGACTTCTCCGAGGAGAGGAGAGGCTCTACCTTGCAGGGACTCTCCTGAGATCATACAGGTTTGAGACACATAGCTCACTTGATTTTCCTCTGGAAGTTACTTCACATTTTTATTTTTCTAATAAAGGTATATGTCCCATTTAAATCCATGCTGTACATTTCTTGACTTTAGCACTTAATTCAATAGGAATTAAAAAGAAAAACCTTCCAAGGTTGAGAAGTTTGATCTCTGGGTTGAAGGTAAACATATATGGTTTTTCTTCTTTCTGCCTAGGCCTAGCTCTCCAGCTAAGAGACAGAGCATATGTCTTCCATTAGAGAAGTTTATCAGGCTCAGAAGATGTACTCCCATTTCCTGTTCATACCATGCTTATGTGCTCTGGAGCTAAATTATAATCATCGCTGCCGTGCTATTTTTAAAATGCAGTTACAGTTTGAGTTTCTGGCTCCCTTTTAGAACCATGACCATACTGCTATTTTCTTCTCACAGGCGCTATTTTCCAGTATTTATGTGGCTGAAATAAGAAACATCTTTATGCTATCCTCCTTCTGGAAGCCAAGAAACCTTGCTACCTTGCTGAGAAGTTTATTTGGTAAACGAGATGTTCAAGAAGTTTCTTTGAAAGCTGAATAAAGTGATTTGATGTCCAAGTTGTGTTCATTAAGATGGGAGGGGGGGAGAAGTGGGGGAGGGGAGTTAATCTTTCAAGCTAGTGAAAAAAGAACCTTGTTTTCAAATTGAACACCGTTGATAGATCCTTTAAACCAAGTAAAGAAGGATTTGGCATTTATCTGTTACCTATTTAATCTGGGGGGAAAAAAGTAGCTTGTAAAGTGCAGTTTGCTTATTTACTGTCACTGGGAGTTAGTGTTGGTTGGGTTTTTGTTTGCTTGCTTGAAATAGCTGACTTGGCTCCTTACAAAGACGACATCAGCTAGATAATTCTGTGCTGTGTAGGTTCAACCATAAAGTGTTACTGGTTCTCATATGCGAAAGTTTAAGGATAAGTAATGTTCAGAAGGGTCCGCCTCCGGGTTTCATAATTCAATTTAGAGACAGAGTGCTCAAAGGAGAGAGGAGATCCAAGTCAGACCTAGAAGAGAGGCTAATATTTCAGTTATTAATATTTCCATTTGACAGAAATTATTATCGCTGAGAATATAAATGGGCACAGATAAAAGGGTAGGGTCAGGGAGCCACAGAATAAATCTCTTTCAACTGTGGCCTGGAGAAGAGTTACTGACGTTGCTTTTCATATGTTACAATTCTAAGTTGCTCTTCAGAGCCCTAATTTTGGCATCAAGTAGTTGGATCATTTGGGTTCAAACATCTGTTGTTTCTGGATGGCTTTAAAATTCCATTGCAAGCTCAAAAATGCTCAAATCGCAAAGTATGTCCTTATGAGAAGCATCTACTTACTGGGTGTATGTTTGCCCTTCTCCCTCACGAATCTTCTACAAACACTTCCTTTGGGCCTACAATTTCTGCTCTGTTTCTCCACAGGTAGTAGTAACATGAAGTGTTTCCTTGAGAAAGATTCAATTTGGGGCACGGAATGCCTTTCCCTGTTAAGTTTATTCTTTATGTGCTTGGAATGTGCTGGAATGTATGTAAATACTTTCCAATGTCCGAACTCGCTGTTTTTTTCTTCCCTCTCCTGGACTTGCCATTGCCTGACGGCTTCATTCCAATTTCTGCTAGAATTTTACAAGTTCCAGCAAGATTTTTTTCCTTTTTTTTTTTGGAGAAAGATAATTGCAATCGGATAACCCTTAAAGGGCAAATGTATTATAAAACAGACTTATTTTTTTTCTGAGAAAGAGTTGCATTACAGCTGTTTTACCATTCCATGCAGCACCTCAACGAAGAGATGTGATTGCAGGCAGAAAATGAGTTATAGAAGAAATGTCCTCAGATTGAAAAACAGGGTCCTTAACGAACATACAGTGAGGGTCACATTATTGTGATTTTCCCATCAAGCTTCTGAACTCCGTACCTCTGCAACCTTCCAAAACTTCTAAAATTTTTTTTAATGTTTTATTTATTTCTAGGAGAGAGAGAGAGACAGCGTGAGCAGGGGAGGGTCAGAGAGAGAGGGAGTGACAGACTCTGAAACAGGCTCCAGGCTCTGAGCTGGCAGTCAGCACAGAGCCCGACGCGGGGCTCGAACCCACGAACCGCGGATCATGACCTAAGCGAAAGTCAGGCGCTTAACCGACTACGCCACCCAGGAGCCCCCAAAACTTCTAGATATGGTTCAGAGTTAAAATGGGTAGACATTATGAGAAGTAGAATTTCAGTGGGGGAGACCACTCCATTGCCAATTTGACTGGCGTTTGGAACCACTTTAAAACTTTGGGAGTTTAGAGAAGCCTTCGAAAATGAGTCTTGGCATTGATTTCTCCACATACAATCGTGCATCTAAAGAAAACAATTTGGGGGATTTTTTTTCCTTTTGTATGCAGACTTTGTGTTTTCTCTCAACTTGATAACAGTCACAAATTAATGCAGTGTGTACCATCCCTGGAATTACAGTATATTAAGTAAATGATTTATAGCAAAGTAAAATAAACCAAGAAAAAGTCTTGGCCTTCCAAGGGCTTCCAGTGTTAGCGGGTAATTCCTCAATTCTCAGTGTCTGTGCTATCTGGACAGTAACAGCCACCACACCAGTACTGGGGGGGATTGCCCTGCGGGTCATTAACTCTAATCTTTCCTGACCCTTCTGACTCCTTTATCTCCAGAGGCACATAAGTTTTAAACCCACCCCGGCCGCTGGCTTTCTGGACTTTTACCCCTTCAGTCTTAGCTCTGCTTTTCCACAGAACTAATTGTGATGTTTGGAAGGCAGCCCGTCTCAGAGCATGATCTGTGGTTTCCTCTTTTCTCCAAGCTCTTGAAAAAACCCTTGCACACAAACAAACGAACAGTTTGCTCTTTTTAAGAAATCATTTCTGCTCCTTACCTGTTGGAGCAAGAAGATGATAGGAGGTTGTGTTCTGCTTTTAATTATTATACTTGTGAAGCTTTGAAAATCTTTGCTGCTGGATTCCAAGTTTCTTGCTAGGCTGTTTTCATCTTTGTCTTCTGGAGAGATGGCCCAGCCCTTGTCCCTGGGAACAGAGAGGCTGAGGGCTCAGGCCCTGACATGAGGCCCACTTCTGTTGCAAAGCTGTCTCTGCCACATACTACTAAGTGACAATTGCGCTATTGTTTAACCCCTATAAACGTTGGTGAAATAAGATTATGTATGTAAACCACTTCGCGTGATTTTTTTTGCACAGAGTCTTTACTCAACATGCGAGCTATTAGAAGTATGTCCATATGTGTTGAATGAGAGGAATAAGTATAATCCCTGCTTGGATAATCTTTTGATGTTCACAATTTCTGGATCATGAAGAGTGTTTCTACAGAAGAACCCAAGCAAATCTCTCATGCAAATTATTTATATCGATAGCACATGTTTATACAAATGTGTCAACAAAATTTAAGTGACAGCCACTTCTAAACACTGCTTCTAAAATTAATAATTGCCGTTTTCAAATCCAAGTACAAAATGCATGGACAGCCCCAGACCAGGCAGAGTCTGTGAGTCTAGGATGTGCTAAGCAGCTGGGCAGTGACCTTAGGCAGTGGCCTGGTGGATGGAATATCAGACATCCTGCTTGGCCTTTTTTTTTTTTTTTAATATTTTTATTTATTTCTAGGAGAGAGAGAGAGAGAGCCAGCATGAGCAGGGGAGGGTCAGAGAGAGAGGGAGTGACAGACTCTGAAATAGGCTCCAGGCTCTGAGCTGGCAGTCAGCACAGAGCCCGACGCAGGGCTCAACCCACGAACCGCGAGATCATGACCTAAGTGAAAGTCGGACGCTTAACCGACTAAGCCACCCAGGCGCCCCTGCTTGGCCTTTAAATCTGGGACAGACAAGACATTCTGGCGAGGACATGTCTCTGAATAATGGACTTCTTGGAGAGTGTGAGGAAAGCTATGCATAGATAAACATACCTGGTAGAAAAGAGACACAGACAGAAACAAGGACAGAGACAGAGAGGGAGAGAGAGAGAGAGAAAAGAGAAGAAGGAGGAGAGGAGTCAAGTAGTCAAAGTAGGAGCAAGAACCAGCCAGAGGTAAGAAGATGCCAGGCTATGGATTCAAATAGAATTGGTTTTAAATCCTCTTTTGCAAGCTGTGTGATCCTGGGCAAGTTACCTAACTTCTCTCAATTTTCTTATCTATAAAAAGGAACCAAAAAAAAAAAAAAAAAGACCACCTACCTCAGAAGGTTTCTACAAGGATCAGACAAAATAGTGCATTTTAAAAAACGTTTATTTATTTATTTTAAGAGAGACAGAGACACCGTAGTGGGGGAGGGGCAGAGAGGAGGGAGAGAGAGAATCCCAAGCAGGGCTCACACTCACAAAACTGTGAGATCACAATCTGAGCCAAAACCAAGAGTTGGACACGTAACCAACTGAGCCACCCAGGCACCCCCAAGATAATGCATTTAAGATGATCACTTAATGCATTTAATGCAGGTAGTCTCGGGAGTATACTGTTTTATAGCTTTCTCACTTTATAACATATTAAAGACCCTTCCTCAGATACGGTGCTTGTGTTTATTTATTTACTCAGGTATTTGTTTAATTAGAAAAGGACACCACTAGAACCAAAGGCATAGAGTCTCCTGTCAACCAGGAGAGACCCTTACTGCTGTTTTTACGAGAACAATTGCAGATACGCGACGCAGGGCACTTTTTTCTCTTCTGTACGGGCCGGCCATACCATTTTAAGAAATGTTGAATTAATAGTTCAAACATCAAAATGGGAGTCACAAGTTGTCATCCATTCATTCATTCATTCGACCAGAGCTCACTAGGGTCAAGATGAGCACTGAGTAAGGTAGGCATTGGAGTGTGTGGGATGGTGGGGGCGGGGGCGGGGTGGGGGGAGGGGATACATAGCATGAGAACTAGATAGAGTCCTTGTCCTGACCAACTCCAGGCATCTGTCTCCTCTCTCTGGCCCTCTGATGGATAGAGGAAAGTTTCTCCTGTTGTGCCAGAGTGTAATGCCAGCGCTTCCTAAGCTGTTATATGGAGAAAGAAAGGGAGCCCCAAAGTAGATCCTGGGCTGCATTTCTGACTCTGACTCATTGACTCATGCCTTGTTCTTCAGTTCTCGTATCTGTAAAATGGAAGGACAAAATTCTTATTGCTTTCCCGCAGTGACTGTTATGACTGGTAAAAATTAACAAGTTATACTTGGAAAGTACTTTGATCTCATAATCGAAAAGCAGAGAAGGAGTTTGAAGTAGAGGTCATATATTCATTACATTTGATCATTTTCTTTCAGATCATCTTCTTCCAAATGGACATAGATGTTTTTGTTTAATGATTCAACTCAACTATATTTATTGATCACCTATTACAAAAAAAAGATTAAAAAAACCCAACAATGCAAACTTCATCTTTGCCCCTCAGTTAGTAAGTTGAACTACTTTCAGATTGTATTTCTGTGCTCCGGAAGGGACCCGTTTGTTTGATTGAATATATAAATGAACATTTGGATCACGAATTGGATCCTTACTTATTCTCCTATATACACCCCACAGAGAGGTCAGAAAGAAATTAAAAACTTTTCTTTTAATATTTATTGTGAAAGAGAGAGAGTGTGTGGCAGGGACAGAGAGAAAGGGAGAGAGAGAAGCTCCATGCTGACAGCTTGGAGCCTGACACGGGGCTCGATCCCACGAACCATGAGATCATGACCTGAGCTGAAATCAAGAGTCAGATGCTTAAACCACTGATCCACTAGGCACCCTCAGAAAGAAACTCAATTCTTAGTATCTGACTTTAGTTTGGTAAAGACTTCTGAATACAAGACATATCCAACAGAAAGGGACATCTCCATTGGTCCTATTTACTAGCCAGTAACTGGAGTGAAATGGGAGAGGAAGAAAGGAACGTGTAGAGAGGGTGGTGTGTTGACCCTTGGACAGCTACTGTTATCAGCAACGGCTCAGTAATGTTGCACATTCTTCCTGTCTTTTTGGTTATGGGCCCATTGAAGCTTTTGCTGGGATTTGTAGCCAATCCTATTATTTCAAGATCGAAATCAGGATATGAAGATGAGGCACCATGTTTGCCTTTAGCCTCAGTCTCTATTAAGGTTTAAAGTGTTTTACTAGAGACAGTCTCCAATGTGATACTTTGCCAACATTTCACTAGCGCACTCCAAATCTCCACGCGGGGTGACAGATCTAGTTCAGCTGCCTCCATTTTCCTCTGGGGCAAAGGGGGCTGAGATTGCACAGCAGAAGCAGTTCAACCAATCATTATGTGTAAACCTCAGCCCATTTGTGTAATGCAATCCTTCTGGTAGTAATGACACCAAAGATGCAAGTAGGGAAGACCTCCAGCCTGCCTGATCACCTGAGGCAACAGGGCCACAGCACCTCTCTCTCCTTGGAAGTAAAACAGCTGCTCTAATGGTAACCAAATGCCCTCCTTCAGGACAGTATTTCCAGAGGGTGGATGATACATGTATTGTACAAACATATACAATCGCTTTAGAAGATAATCATCGGTAGCATGCTGGGAAGCTGGAATGCAAAAGAGATTGAGCAGTGTCTGGAAGAGGACGTGACAAATCTCAGGAGAAGCAGTAGCTGTCCAGGCCTGGGATCCTTTATCCTGGCCATGAGATAGCACAGCCCATGTGAAGAAAGGACTGGTGAGTTTTCCAGCATAACATGGTATTTTATTTCACCATAGTAGACTGCTGCGAAATCTCCAGAGTCCCTGGCAGCTGCGTCTTGTCTTTAATATGAAGCCTGGGGGGAAGAGAAAGAGAGAGAGAGGCTCATAACTCACAAGGGGCGCAGCCATAAGAAAGCCATTCTGAGTAACTGAATCAGACACCGAGGGGGAGCTGCTATTCCATTCCCAAGTCAAGAATGCTTTTTGTCTCTCCTTCTCTCCTTATCGGCCGTGTCCTCATGAAAAGATCATTTATGGGTGGCGGAATGAGTGCATGAGAGCCAGCTTCTGTTTCTTCCCCTTTCTTCCCCCATTGCTGCTGTCCGGGAGAAAAAAAGACACTTTGTTAAAGACTGAAACAGCAGATGCAGTTCAGATATTATCTTAAATAATTTTGGGGGGAGGGAGTATTTTATCTCTAATTGGTCCAGCACTGTTTTTGTGTTGGAAATAGTCCTACTGCTGATGCAAATGTTCTGGAGAGTGGAGAGACCCATACCAAAGAAGTTGTTTATGAGTATCTTTAAAATAACGTAGGACAGAAAGAACCGATGATGTCAATTAAAATGATTCAAGGAAGAAATGGACATAAAATGGCATCAGGGGCTGCAGTGAATCGGAAGAGGTAGGATTAATAAAAAGTGCTGAGTAAAGCAGAGAACTCGGGATGAACTTGGCAAGTGCAAAAGTAAGGCTTTTTAATGAAGTATGTAGAGTTAGAAGTAAGTACGTCGTAGTTAGAAGAAAAAGGTGGTGAAGTCCTGCAGACTCTGAAACTCAGGCTTAAGACTGTTTCAACAGCATTTAGTTGCTATTTATGTTCACATTTGTGGAACATGATTAAATATAGATAATAAACAGGAAAATCGTTTATAGTCCCGTCAATTTTTGGATAACGATGGCGAACATTCCAATGCATTTTCTTTTCTTCTTTTTTTTTTTTTTTGCAAATTGATTGTCCCAGTTTAGGTTCCCCAGAGACAGGTCTTGGGACAAGGATTCAAGTGCAAGGAGGTAATTCCAGGAAACACTGACAAGGAAGCAGAACTTGTAAGACAGGGAAGGAAAGGAAGCCAAAAAAAGGGCATGTTCTCAAATGAGTCTGTTGGAATGCAGTCCTGCTGGGCAACTCAGAGCTGTCCCACTGAGGGCTAAGGAAGCTAGAGCATTTGTCCACTAATTCTTGTCAGTTGAGAGTTGATTTGGGGGCATTAACTCTCTGAATGGGTCTTTCTGGGCCTAAGCAGAGAGTTGCAGGTATTTGCCGCAAAAAGCCCTCAGTATGTAGTGGGAATATGGGTGCTACATGAATATACACAAATGGTGTTTTTAAAAATATTTCTAAATGTTTATTTATTTATTTTGAGAGAGAGAGAGAGAGAGAGGGAGTGTGTGTGTGTGTGTGTGTGTGTGTGTGTGTGTGTGTAAGGGAGGGTCAGAGAGAGAGGGAGAGAGAGAGAGAGAGAGAGAGAATCCCAAGCAGGCTTCACACTGTCAACACTGTCAGTACAGAGCTCAACACGGGACTCGAACTCAAAACTGCAAGATTATGACCTGACCTGAAATCAAGAGTCAGATGCTTACCTGACTGAGCCACCCAGGTGTCCCAAAATTGTATTTTTATTTATAAAATAGATGTCTATGCATCAGACTCTGCACTATGTGTTGTGCTTGCATTAGTTTCTGTAATTCTCACAGAAGCCCTGTAAGGTAGATGCTACTTTTATCCCCTGAGGGTGAGAGACTGGAATTAGAGGCTGGTAGAAGTAGATATGAGAGCCACACTCCCAGAGATCAAATACCTGAAGTCCCAAAGAGATGATGCACTCTTCCAAAGAGTCTTGGTGATAGCCTTATTCACCCACTTCCTGTCTTCTGCGCATTTTCTCCTCTTTCCTTCAACAATTTTTTTTCTTTGCAATTATAAAAGTCTTCTCTATTTTCAGAGACGTTTGCTGAAAAACAAAACGAGACCTTGAGACATAAAAGATCTGTAATGGACAACTATCAGCTGTGCCTGTTAGCACCCCCTCCCCCACCTTCTTTCTGTACAATGTCTTATCTCATTTGGGGTAAGATGATCCCCCCTTTCTCCCTGTAGTTTTAATGGGCTGCCAAACCAGTCTTCAGTCTACAGAGATGAACATGAGATCCAGGCGTGGCCAACCATAGTCTTCATCTATGTGACCACAGAGATCAGTTAGAAATGTGTTCATGCATTGGGCTGAGCCAGTTAGTCTTTCCCTGGGGCCTTTATTTCAGGCTTTGCAGGAGGACACTGATGTCCCTAGACTGAGACGATATAATCAAAAACTGTCTGAACCATGCTCCATTTCCTCTCTGCAGCAAGGCAGAGCAAACCCATGTGCAGCAGCAGAGAAAGGAAACAGAGCAGAGAGATGAAAAGAGAAGAGAGACATCTGCCTGCATTTGCTAAGTCCCTGATATCTTCTGAGCTCTGGGCTTCCCTTTGCAAGAAGCAAATAAATAATACACCAATAAACCATAAATCCTACTCCTTCCTTTCACCCTGCCTTCTTCTTTCTTTCATCCTTGTTTACTTGTTTGTTCATTTAGAGCTAGTTTGACCTGGATTTCAGGTTTCTTGCAGCCAGAGTCCTGACTGATTCAGGACCAAGTACACCTTGACCAGGACATGTGTTTGTGATCTGTGGGTCATATATTGATATACGAGAGCAGTGGGTGAAGAGAATTAACTTATGACAGGACAGGGTAACCTTTTTCCACAGCTCACGGTTTTCCTGGCCTCCATGATTCCCAGGCTGATTCCAGCTCTCTGAGGCATGAAGGAGGCATCTGCCTTCAGGAAATATTGAATTGCAACAGCAGCATGGAACACGGTTTCCCATTGACTCCTGCCTTTGCCTGCAGCTATTGATGGCATTCTTCAATAGGATAGTAACTGATAAGGGTGATCTGGTTTTTCCCTCCTACTCTTGCAACTCAAGGACACGAGAACTCTAGTTTTAGGGGAAATAAACTGAGAATTCTGTGAATTCTAACCCTGGCTCGAGGAGATTTGGATTTTTGTGATCTTCCAAAGGTTCAACAGATCTAAACTCTCAATAGGCTACTATTAATCTGGAAGCTCTAAGATGTCCTTGAAATAATAGCTGCCGTTTATTAAACATGGTAGCCGGGCACTGTACACATGGGCTTTGTGTATGCTATTGTAATATAACCCTCACAGAATCCCACAAAGTAGGTTTTAGGCCAGTTTGGTTTTCCAGGAAGAAGATGATGAGAGTTATGAGTGCAAATGTTTTACTGGGGTGTGATTTTAGTGAAAGAAAAAGGGAGAAAGCAAGGTTGGGCAGCTGGAGTTGCTCAACGGTAACGTAGATCCCACAATGTCTCTGTTAGATCAATGAGGGAGCTTCAGAGCCAAGACTGGCTCTTAGAACTTCTTGTATTGGGTGAAAATGGGGGAGCCTTTGTAGATCAGCCTTGCTCATTCATTGGCTGTGGTTTATCTGGAGAAGGGGGTGACCTCCTTTGGAAAGCTGAGGGAGACTCTGAGGAGTCAAGGTTAGCCACATTCCTCCCAGTTGGACAGCAAGTGCTTTCTTGAAGGGGGTATCCAAGCAGCACATTTTCAGGTCTGCCACATCTCACATCCCAAATCTTACAATGGGGCATTGCTTTGAGCTATAAAAACCTCCCTTATGAACCAAACAAGAGAGTAAGAGTACACTGAAATATTGGTTTGGGAGCCTCATCAATCTGTCAGTGCAATGAAATAGGGATTGTTCTAGATCATCACTTCTCAACTTTTTTTCCTATTATTGCTCATCTCCTCTTTCACCCCAAGCTTTTTAGAAATTTATTTTTCCTAATTGTCCCCCCCAACCATGAAAATTTAACATCATAGGTATACTGCGTATATGTTTATGGACTATATGTATACCTGTACTTTGTATATAAAAAGAGTAAGATTTTTTTTCATCTTCAAAGAATCAATTTTCATTCCCTTGGGGAAAATATCACCCTATTCAAATGCACGTTCTATTAAAAGAGACAAGACTGGCTTTGTCGGTTAAGTATCCTATTCTTGATTTCAGCTCAGGTCATGATCTCACAATTCATGAGATGCAGCCCTGCATTGAGCTCTGTTAGCATGGAGCCTGCTTGGGATTCTCTCCCTCTCTCTCTCTGCCTCTACCTCCTCACCTCTCAAAATAAATAAATAGAAACTTGGGAAAAAATAAAAGAGATAAGAGATGTAACAACCAGGTGCAATATATAGTCCAGAATTGAATCTAGGGGTGGATAAATCAGCCATGAAGGGCATTTGGGAGGGCACATGAGAAATTTTAATTGGACTAAACACTCTCATTAGGTAAATGGTGTTACTTTGCCTGTACAGGAAAATGGTCTTATTTTTTGTAGATGCATATAAAAGTAAAACACAAGAAAGATACTGGTTTGGTGAAGACATCTTTATTATTTTTTTAATGTTTATTTATTTATTTTGAGAGAGAGTATGAGTGGGGAGACAGATGGAGAGAGAGAATCCCAGGCAGGCTCTGTGCTATCCGCGTGGAACTTGACACGGGGCTAGATCTCGTGAACTGTGAAATCATGACCTGAGCCAAAATCAAGAGTTGGTCGCTTAATCGACTGAGCCACCCAGGCGCCTCAAGATGTCTTTATTATTAGTCAAGTTTTCTATATACACAGGGCTTCTCCCCTTTGCCTATATAATACATATTTCTGTTAAGAGTGAACTTTGACATTAGAAGTGGATTAAGTGGCCTTTGTGGGGAAGCTCTGAATTTGGAACAGCTGAACAGTGTACACTAATGACACCGATTCTCCTAAAGTTGACTAAAATGTACTTATAAGACAAGCACATTTTTTTGAGAAATGTTGGATGAAACTGGTTTATAAGATTTTTACATGATTTCTTTAAGATTTGGGGTATTTCATTCATCAGGGAGTAAAACCTATTTTATCAAATAGTGCCATGAAATCTTTCTCCCAACTACAATCTATCATCATCTTATGAAAAGAATTTTGGATGACAACTGAAAATATGCAGGAAGCTACACAGTTTTAAACAATTCTTCTGGGGGTTATGTAAGCAACATATTTACAGATTCCTGGGCTAAGATAGGACATTTCAAGAAAAGAAGCCCTTCTCTTTGCATCTCTTTGGTCTCTAGTCTTCCTGGAAGCCAATGGCTAATTACAGGCACACAGTGCACCTGAGCAGGATTCCAGGCAAGATGGCAGCCTTTTGCTTTTCTCAGGGAGAACCAAGTTTATTTTGATAATGTTTTCTTTTCTCTTTTCTCCGTGGTAGATTTCCATTGTCACACAGCCATGAACACATCAGTGGGACTCAAGGATCTTATATAAAGCTGCAACTGCTTCTCGCAACTGTTCTCCCCACGGTTTACAAACCTCACTCTTTGGGGTCCACAGCCCCCCTTCCTGCTCACTGGTAGGTGTATCATTCCAAATGGCAAAGAGGTCAGTCACTTCTGTTATTTCCAATCAGTGCTGTGTTGAAAAGTCCCATGCGAGGGTCTGTATGTTTTTTTCAGACAGGATGAATCATAGGCATGTTGCTTTTTTGAAGGGTGTCTAAATCATTTCACACAGCACGCCTTTAAACAAAAGCCCTCCCATAAGGCCGAAGCATCTGGCATGATATATATTCTTCCAGAATTCTCGAGAGTCTGAGCTCTCCAACACACATTGTTCCCCACCTTTCAGGGTTTTTTTTTTCCTACTTAATTTGCTGGCATGTCTCCCCATCAGGTCCTGCATATCATTCTCATTACCACTGACTCTGATTGTCTAGTCTCAGCCAAACTTGGAAAATTCCAAAGAGGAATGTTCTACTCATTTTCAGGCCAGGAGTAAAATTCTAGCAAGACCTGTTTGTTGCTTGCAGATGGAGTCAGGACTCTTGGGAGATGATGACAATCAGCTGTCAGGGTTTAGATGGCTGCATGTCCCAAATCTCAAGCCATCACCTCACTCTTAACTCTGGGCCTGCATTTCCAACTGTTCACTGAGCATATTCTGTTTAAAAACCCTGTAAAGTCACACTCAAGGTTTCAGAGATGGAACTGCTATCTCTACCCTTTTATGCTTCCTGCATGGCTTAGTCCACCTGATTAAGCTTCCTGTAGTGCTATTTGGATCCTTTCACACTTACTTGCTCAGAAGCCTTTGGTTGGGGTGCCGCAGTGGCTCAATTGGTTGACTCCAACTTCAGCTCAGGTCATGATCTCATAGTTCATGGGTTCGAGCTCCGCGTCAGCCTCTGTGCTGATAGCTCAGAGCCTGGATCGTGCTTCAGATTCTATGTTTCCCTCTCTCTCTGCCTTTTCCCCGCACGTGCTCTCTCTCTTTCTCAAAAATAAATTAACATAAAAAAACAGAAGCCTTCAGTGGTTCACCATTGTCGGTAACATAAAATACAAATTCTTTTCCTGACAGTCTAGGTCTTGATACTCCAGGTAGACTGGTCAATTTAATATTGCTCAAGGAAGCCTTCTACTTGATTCTATTAAGTTTTTGGGTAAATATGCCCACATTCTAGGATATTTTTCTTCCTATTTTTTTCCTCTAGATATTTATATTGCTCTTCAGATTTAAGCCAGAAATCTGTGTGATTTCCCCCTGGTTTTCCTGAAGTCTCTATTCTAGCATCACAAGTAAGGTTTTTAACACTCAAGTTATTATTATGAGTCAATTCCCGTCCCCTGACGTCCAAATCCTATCCCTGTTTTATTTTTCTCTATAGCACTTACTACCGTACATTATTTATTCATGTATTGTCCGTCTGCCCCCACAGTGGTGGGGATATTTTTTATTTTTGTTCATTATTGTAGCATCAGCAACTAGAGCAAGGACTGGCACATAACAGGCACACAAAAAGTATTTATAGACTAAATAAGTGAATGAAGGAACTTTGAAACTATTTGAGGGTATTTAGCATATGTCTGTTACCCTCCAGGGCTCTGAAGAGGCGGGTATAAACCAAATGGGGTTCTTTTAGTAACCTACAATCTTGTGGGGGGAAAACGTGAAGTGCAAAAATGCAAGTGCTTAGAGAATCAATATTATTGAGCCTCTATTACATGCAAGGTACATTCTCATATCTGGGTTCATTGCAGCCTCACCTTGAGGCAGTCTGGAAAGTTCTATTATTCAGTTTTGCAGATAAGAACATTGAAGCTCAAGAAAGTTAAGTAATTTCTCCCCA